AAGCACTAGATCCATTGGTGGAACCTCCAGACCCAATGGTGGAACCTCCAGTGAGGTGCAGAATAACAGCGCCAGCACCAATGGTGGAGCCGTCAGATCCAATGGTGGGACCACCAGATCCAACGGTGGGACCACCAGATCCAATGCTGGATCTGCCGCTTTTGAAAGTTGGGTCAAGAAGCAGAAGTTCAACCACGTCTGCAACATTGTCGGAGATTCAGGTAAGGATGTCGACTCAATCTCAGACGTGCAAAAGCATGTCATTACATGCTTCGTGGGTTATCTTGTCACCCTCCCCACGTCGCAGTTGTCTGAGATCCCGGCCGATCACTGGGACCTGGCACCTGGCACTCCTTTGTCGGCGTCGAATGCGTTCATTCGAGTTTGCTATCTCGACATCCCCGGCCAGGAGCGACTCTACGTAATCCAGCCAAGCCAATCAAGAAGTCTCGTCCCGTGGAAACTCGTGGTTCCTGACGCTGCTACAGCTGTAATGTGCCTCCGTCGTGACTGGGGGTCCGACATCTCGACCATCACCCTCAAGCTCCTGCAAAAAGGTATCACGTTCAAGACACTGCAGCCCATGGCAGTTTCTCCTGAGGCTAGGCGCCCGCTCAGCGAACTTCGTACATTCTCGCTCGGATACTTCCGGCCCCCCTTCAAGGCCGTTTACGCTGATTATATCGCATATGAGCAGTACCGTCACGAGTTCATGAATGAAGATCGTGCACGAGCTGCTCTGCTTCGCGGTGGGATCTTATGGCGGCTAGCACTACATAGCCTTGGCTTCGATAACCTCCCCTCGGCCCTCATTGGCATTTCACGGGATGCTGTCCCATTTGGACAAATGCTCACCATCAACGGCGAGACTCACTTTGACGACGAGTTATCGGAAGAGGAGGTCGATTTCATTTGTGGGACGTATTATGTATACACAAGTAAGTTTTCTTAATTCACATTGACCCGCAGTGCGCTCAAATTTGAATCATCAGACAACGGATGCATAGAGAAGTTGTCTTGGTGGCCTAGGCCGCAGGCCTGGGCTGGGTCAGGGTTGGATGTGGGGTTCTGGTCTGCTCGATGCGAAAGCTGGTTCCAGACACGCCTTGAAAACATCCGACAAGGTGTTTCTCGTCGCCGCGATTCATCCGACAACAATGGTCCGGTGAACAACACACATTGGAAACATGGACTCAAATTCAATGGAGCGACGAAGAAATTCAAGAAGAATCTTGACGCGGCATGTTCTGACTTTCTCACTACCAAAGCAAGTGGTAAGCTATCTTTTTTGTCGTTTAATGTGCAGCTCTGATGTCCTCTTAGCATTCACGGACAATTAGATTATTTTGTGTCACTACTGTACTGTACTATTAGAATATTAGAATACATGGGTACGGGGGAACGCATATGACGAAACATGTCCAACATAGGGTCTGCGACCCCAAAGGACTTAATCTGATGCGAAAAAAATTGTACTATTATAGAATACATGTATACCGAAAGCATATGACGAAACATGTCCAACATGGGGTCTGTGACCCCAAAGGACTTATTCTGATGCGAAAAAAATTGTACAAGTTTTCTTCAAACGAACAGAACTCTACTCGTGCACTCGTAAGTGGGCGATGAGCGGGCGATGAGCAGGCGATCGTTGGGCGATTAATTTTATCTGGAGACAAAACTTGATGTTTTATGTTCACGTTTTATTGTCAAGGGGTATTTTAAATTTAAACGCCCGTCTAAGTGGTGGCCCAAACTTCGTATTATGAGCAGGCATTTGGTCACGTGCAATGCTTAAAGTTTTTTGGAGTCTTAAATGTGAAGCTTCATTTCGAAGTATAGGCCAGCATTAAAGATGTATTTATATTTCTTATTGTTGATGGCATTCAGCCGGCAACAAAATGTTCGCTATTGCTTTATATTTTTCTTGTCACGCAAGATCTCTTTAACATTTGAAATTTTATATCTGCTTACATGACAAGCTAAATACTAAGTATTGCCTTGACATTTCACACGACATTCAGACTTGTCTTAAATATTGCGGACACCGTAGTGTCAACTTGCGTCTGTCCACTATGAATGAACTTACTATTGGCTTACGTATCAGGCATCGCTCGCCATCCCTTGATACTATTCCTCTCGACATACTTTTCGATATATCTCAGCTTCTTCCTATCCAAAGCGTCCTGGCACTACGGCAGGTTTGCTCCCCTGTTTTCATTTCACGGGGTTTCTTAATCTGATTTGTATTTTCTAGACTAGTAAAAGTTTGGATGCCATCACCCGTATGCGCAGTCTCTGGGCTTTTTTCTGCGGACTCTTGTCCAGCAAAACATCCCTATACCTTACTTCGATGGGAAATCCCCTGAGTCTCTATCAGCCTTAGAGCTCGAGCGGTTTACATGTCGTGCACTTGCTCTTCGCATCAACTGGACCAACCCTAATCCGAGTCTGAAGAGAGAAATTCATTTTGGAGAGGCCGAGAAACGTTCGGACGTTTTCTGTATGGAGTTTCTCCCTGGCAGAGGAAATCGTTGGTTAGTTTCTGTTACGAGTCAGGCATACACAAAGTATATCATCCAGTGCTGGGACCTTACCGTCCTACAACCCGTGTGCATAGCAAAACTGACGTACACGGATAAGGCATACAACCGTGTTGTTATCAATAACGATCCCTCTTCTCCAGCCACAATGGCGATCCAGTCCAAGCCAGAAGTGTGAGTGTAAATAGTAACACCCTCTTTGACGTTCTTGCTGATTGTCTATCATGGAACGGAAATACTCACCATCGACTTCGAAGAGAAAGACCCCGAGTCAGCGTTCGTTCCGCTGAGTGCCATTGATGGACGTAGAGTGATTCACCTACTCAGCGGGAGCACACTCGTCACCAGGTGTCAAAAACGCGACGGAAAATTGAGCATATGGGACATCAGCGATCAACCTCATGAGAAAATCCAGTTGGTGAGCCCCTCACTATTACAGGTTAGCTTGCTTTTCCCGTGTAATCCCGCACATCGCTGAATTCTATGATTTAGGAGGACCGTTGTAGAACAATGCATTTCTGTGACGATTACCTGATAATATTCCTCATCCGGACTGTCGAGCTCTACTCGACCATTCCTCGACCCAACAACATTGCAATGCCGGGAGTGCCAATCTCGTATCCACTCGCACAGCACAGCTTCCACTACGATTTCATAGACCAAGTCAATATGTCAGAACAAGTTAGCTGGCATGCTGCGCGCTTGCACCGTCCATCGCCGATCAACATTGTCATTCGATTCTGGCCGGGGGACACATTGCATCATTTCGTGCTTGACCCAAATCCCGCGTATGTTCCAGGACGGGAGACTTCTCTATACAACCTTCCATACTTGGTACAGCCCACTCTAGTGCAGAAGATATGCTCTCCAGTGTGGTTACTTTCGAGATCGGCCACTGCTCTTGGACGATATGGTACTATGCTCTTACTTGACAACCATGACCCAGACGGGATGGTATATAGCGACTTCCAACATCAGCAACTTTCAGTACGGATACTGACGGCTACAGGAGGATCCTCGACTAGCCCGCATGGCTCACATGATTCCATGGCATTTCGCGTACGAGGCGGCAGCTATTGGAACAGGGCAGCGATTGATGAGGAGTCTGGGAGAATTGTGGTCAGTAATGTGGACGGTACGATAACACTCTTCGAATATCTTTAACTTGGTTTCTTCATTTCTTTTTTGTTTTGATTATTCTCTTAACATGGACATTATTCTCGACAGCCACATCAAACTCACATGTAGCATATTTCACCATTTTCTCGTCTGTCACTTTATATCCAGGGCCCCTGAAGCTCCCCCATAGGTTTGTCTGAATTTTAGCATTTTTGAGGCTTTTGGAGGGCCGATGTCTGTCCGAAGTTAGCATTTTTGGCGGTGATTCAGGCGCACTTCAGGGCAGGTCATGTAGTGACTTGGAGATAGACTGCAGCTCATTGGAATGCTCTTGCACGTCCCTCGGTGAAGAGGGTTATACTGAAGCTTCCAGCAGTGAGGAAAGGATTGTCTAAGAAGCCAGTTAGAAGTTAGATATCCCCAAGCACTAACATACCTTGTTTATGTACTCCCAGTATTGCACGGTGCACAACGCGGAAATGTCACAATTTGGCGGAGGTCACACTGTGTGACCACTGACCTCTATCCAACTTAGCATTTTTGACGGCCGAAAAGTTGCATTTTTAGGGCTGATTTTGGGGTTCTGGACGGACAGACCTTATAGGGAGCTTCAGGGGTCCTTTATATCCCTTGTCCATGATATACGAAAGAAAATTCATGGTGGTGGTGTACAACTGCGTGTTTCATTCCTGCTAGGTTTCCATTCCGAAGGGATCACAATTATTCCAAGTCACAGCCGATATATCGCGTTAGGACGCAATGAGGACCTAGAAACCAATATGTATATGCCGTGTGATGATCCCATACTCAGACAAGTACATACCGCTGACGGCGTCAGTCCGAGTCTCAGTGTTTTGCTAAACTGATCGCGAGAGAATGTTTTCCTATTATAAAAATCATGAATCCTCGGTACGGGTACACCACGCAACAAGACGCAGACCCTTTCGAGACAAAATCAAGGCGCGCAAACGCTTCAAGTACTTGCTGGGACTGTATCGTTGAAAGTGTCCTCGTAAAGTCCGTTGAAATGTTGTCGAGAGCATTCATAGCAGATATAGACAAGGGCAATACAGAACCGATATTGATTTGGGTTGGTCATAAACATAGAGATGCAGCGAAACGGTTAGAGTCGGTACAACCGTCTGTAGTAATGTACCACAACATCCGGCACAGCCGGCATGTGCAAATTTCAAACTCCGTGCTCTGCCCCTCTGAGAATCGACCGTCAACCTTACGTCAGACTGATCACGAAGCTTGGCTTCGGTCCCACATACAGACCACGTGACTCGTAATGAAAAAATTAGCGTCGCTAGAATTGCCGCTTGTTCATAACTGTCTTTTGGATTTTGGTGGACTTGTTTCCTTGGGAGGATATTCACTAGATCGATACAATGGCCGGTGCACCTCCAATTACGACAAGCCCGACTGCATCCAGTAGTCTCCTGCCAGCAAAATCATGGCAACACTTCGTAGCAGGAGGGTAAGTTTACACTTTATATGTGTGCAATGTATTTTCTTGACGTATCTTCTTTACGTGTCAGTCTGGGTGGAATGTGTGGTGCAATCGTCACGAGTCCATTTGATGTTGTCAAGACGCGGTTGCAGTCCAGTCTTTTCAGGGAGAAGCACACTTCATTCGGGGTTGTAGGAGGTGGTGTTGCAGCGCTCCCGCAGCGTTCAAGTGGTTTGTTGTGGAATTTTGTCGAGACCGGACACATTCTACGGTACGTATAATTAGTGTTCCTAACATGCGCGATCAAACGTTGAAGATGTCGTGATTCAGTGACATATACCGTGACGAGTCTCCAAAAGCGCTTTTCAAAGGCCTTGTGCCAACTCTAGTCGGTGTCATACCTGCCCGTTCAATCAATTTCTACACGTACGGTAACGGCAAGCAAATTATCGCCAATCAATTCAACCACGGACAAGAAAACTCCTACGTCCACCTTGTCGCAGCTGCAACTGCTGGTATTATAACGGGGACAGCCACAAATCCCATCTGGGTTGTCAAGACGCGTCTACAGCTTACAGCATCGGAACGTCGACATCCCTCCTCACTCGCAAGTATGAACCGAGGAGCAATCGCTGGACCTTCACGCGCCCTCGGAGGCAGTTACAATATGATCACGCAGATCTACCGTCAGGAGGGCATCAAGGGCTTTTACAAAGGCCTGAGTGCGAGTTATTTGGGCGTGACAGAGGGAACCATTCAATGGGTGCTCTATGAGCGCCTGAAGAGGTTATCTGCAAACACTGAAGGTCGTGGAGGCATGACCGAGTGGTTTGGAATGCTTGGCAGCGCCGGAACTGCGAAGTGCATCGCCAGTTTAATCACATATCCCCATGAGGTACGTTTTTAGACCGGCAGGACTGTTTTTTTACCTCATGTGGTATAGGTACTACGGACGCGACTACGACAACCGTCTGTGAACGGCGTCATGAAGTACACTGGTCTTTGGCAAACGCTGCGGACCGTTATTGCCGAAGAGGGAGCCCGCTCCCTTTATGGCGGGCTGAGTGCGCATTTAATGCGTGTCGTCCCTAATGCAGCGGTGATGTACTCGATATACGAGGGTGTCTTGCGATGGGGAAAGCACAATTGAATCTCATTCTGAAAGGTTGGGATCCCTGTCGGGATCCTTCGATAAGCTATGTTTAAATTCCTTCTCTTTAACCTAGATAACTTCATCGTTTATTATTGCTGATTGGGTTACCTTACTATCCTCCCCGCACTTTCACAATTCCCGCATTATATTTTACATTCAATCCTACATTGCTTCGCATACATTTGTATAGTACCACACGTTACCCGTCGTAACTCACCACTCCATTGTGTGTCTGAACGTCAGTCCTACGTCCCAAGAGCAGCAATTGCGTGTGTTCTAATCGAAACGCGCCTGGATTGATGAGTATCTACGCAGTATCGAGCCCACAAAGTGCATTAGCTATTAGCTTAAATTACTATTATCTTTGTCCGATGTCCGTTCGATCACGTTGCCAATGCATAATACTAGTTCGTCAGAACCCCACTGTCCAACGATGCTGACACCAACAGGCCAACCGTCGGCGGCTAACCCGGCAGGGACACTCACTGCTGGTAAGCCGGCCAGAGAAGCGGGAACAGTCATAACATCCTGCAGATATGGACCCAGACCAGAGATTGCATCTGAGTCTAGTCGAGGTGCGGTACGAATCGCAGAAGGATGCAAGAGAATATCCACACCATCGGGATTTGGCGAGGGATCGGATAGTTGAGCATTTGGGATGCGAAAATTAGAGTCGAAGTCAGTCTTGATTCGCTGCCGGACGCGCTGAGCTTGAAGAAAGTAATTATCAAATGCGCTGTGACCAATAGTCTGAGTCAAGGCTTCACAGTAAAAACAGGATACACGTACTCAGCTGTGAGTGCATAAGTGCCAAGGAGGATGCGTTTTCGCACCTCCGCGCCAAAACCTGCCGAGCGCGTATGTGCGTACACATTGCCTGGTTTGGATTTGTCTGCACCTGGAGCAGATGGGAACGAGTACCTGGACAGGATCAGTTGAGGAGGAGCATACTTTTGGACGTTATTACCAACCATATTGAACCCCGTCATATCGCGCTAAATTGCTGGACGCTTCTGCGGTTGCTATAACGTAGTATGCACTCAATGCATACGGTGTCGATGGAAGGGAGACTGGAATCAATTGAGCGCCAAGGGACGATAGTCGCTCTAAAACCTTGCGAACCGCGGTTACGATAGTAGTGTTGAGTTCAGAAGGGAAATATTCCTATCTCAAACTGTGAGTATGTCAAACGAACTGAGAGCCGAGACGGACTTGTGGTATCCCAATCCGAAGCGACGAGAGGTCAGGGCTAGACGAGTTCACATCCAGAGTCGATAGCAGTGATTCTGCTGAAGCTTTTGCCCTCTCTCTTGTACGAGGTGCCGCTGCGGTAGGATCCTTTGGATCATATGACGAAATCGAGTCTGCTCGAACTGTCAACTCATGTACTCCCGCTCATTACCATCATGCTCACCGAATACGGTCTTCACTGTATCAACGGACTTTCCGAGCACACCGACGCAATCAAGGCTATCAGCAAAAGAAACTACACCCCATCTGCTATCCATGAGTTTCTGAAATATGAGTTGAAAAGTGACAGACCTGCTAATGAGGCCATATGAGGGTTTCAAGCCCGTAATACCACAGTATGACGCGGGAAGACGAACAGAGCCACCTGTATCTGTACCTAGTGCACTGTCTCCGAGTGAGTGCTATGCCATTTCGACAAGTTGGCAACTCACGCGTCACACATACCAGCTGCAACAGCTGCAGCACTTCCACCTGAGCTTCCGCCTGCCGATCTACGTTCGCGCTCGGCCCAAGGTACGGATTTTTCATTTGGAGAATAATACGGATTTACCACGGGGCCATGGATACTGTTCACATTCAGGGACCTGCGTAGACGAGCGTTAGTGGAAAGCTGCGAAACCCAAAAGTAAGACTTGCCCCATTCCAAATTCATCGCAGTTAGCCTTCCCAACAATATTCGCGCCTCCCGCCTTCAGAAATTCCACCGCCGTCGCGTCAAATGGTGAAGTGAATTCTGTGATAGAGTTAGAGCGAGAACGAGGCACGCTATTCGACATACCGCGAAGCATGCCTGACGAGCATGTTGTCGGTAGATGCATGGTGCATATGTTATCCTTTATTGCAACTGTCAGGTTACGCAGAGGGCCATGGAAATCAAGATTGTGAGTTTCAGTCGAGAAGCTGACTAGCGCATTCGTGCTTTCGTTTAGCGACTGAACATGTCCAGCATGAATGATTACAGAGCGCCTTAAATGTGAAGTTGAAAAAGAATGAGCGCGACAGCCAGCACAAGACCTAGATGGATATGCACGTGCTAATCCACCAACTCTGAGGTGCATAACTCTGTTGGAAGAACTCTCATTGCAAAAGTTGCCGAAGGGACTTATTTGTGTCTGTTGTCCAATACCTTCAGAAATAAACGTCGCCAAACAAACCTTAAGATAGTACGCCGTGTATAGACCGACGCGGATCAATGTGTTCATAGCGAGTGCAACAACATGGACAGATGGCCGAGCGGTCCAAGGCGCCAGACTAAGGAGAACCAGCTCATCTGATGAGCACGGAATCTGGTCTCTTCGGGGGCGTGAGTTCGAATCTCACTCTGTTCAAATATTTTTGCACGTTGCATCCTGCGTCTTCATGTGATACTAGACTCGTATGCCATTGAGTCTACACCTACGCAGAGCCTTTCGAAAAGGTACTTGAAGGGAATACGAATACCCTTCAACGATAAACGAACTTGATTGGCTCCTTAATGTATCATACAATCTGCGATGGGGGAAAAGGAAGTCATATATCGTCGGTACCGGAAAGGTACATCCCTTGTACAGGCAAATTGACATTACTCTGAGATCCAACATTCTCTGTTGTTACAATAACACATGTGAACCAACCACACTCGATAACAGAAGTGTGGGCTCACAGCGGGTAAATGTTCGTGATGCAGAGCCCGCACCCCTTGACAAGGCTCTCCCATTCACACTATTCAATCTTCAGCAACGTAAAGGTCAAACTATTTCGAGGCCAGTTCAGTAACTGGGATGCCTTCTGAGGGATTTGACAAGTCAGACAGGTAGTTGATGATACTGGTCTTGATGAGGATATCAATTGAGGCAGCGCCATACGCCGAGTACTTCTCATCCATGCGCTTATCTAAAGGCGACTGGATAAGGTTCTTTAGTTCTCCCTAGAAAAGGCACTCAGATGAATAAAAGGCAAGGCTCAGTGACAATTAACCAGGTATGCTAGGGGATATTTCATGAAGGTTAGGCATCGTTGACTGTAAAGCATAGTGGTCTAATACCTGGAGACAGGCGGCGGCCATCAAACAACACCATGGTGGGTAGGTAAGTCGTTGGGTCATCCAACGGGTAATCTACTGAGCTGTGTTGGCTTAGGGGAAGAAGCTGAGAATTGTCCATCTCTTTCCGGAGGGTGTCGAGTGAAAAGTTTAAACATGCTTGGAGACGATCAAGCTCTGCATGGGCCATATTATGCTATCGGTTGTAGGGCAAGAAGCGCCGTCAGAAGACCGGTGAGAAGAAGATATTGTTATGTATCGAATACATCTGAATATAAAGCAATATCTGACCATGCAAATATGCCACAATCAGCATAATCGCCAGTAAGAACTCACCGGTACACTGATGCGGCCACCGCCATTATGCACATTATCAAATTATGTCCCCTTGGCAGTATTATTGTAGTGCTCATAAAAAAGCCTTGGCTATGGGTGATTAATCCACAGTAATGTTGTTGACAAAAGTCTGCTGGTTTGAAGTGGCGGAAGAAATACCCAATCTGCCCTGCTGAAGCACGACAGCAAGCATATGTGCTTTTGATAGGAAAGGCTGGTAGGAAATCCGCCGTGTCTATTGATACTGGCACCATCAAGACCAGTGATTAATGTTGTTACACAAACGCCGGATGGACACGTTTGATGCATCTATAGATTACCCTGATGAATGTTTAAACTTTTTCCACGCAGGTGGCCAGGACCCAGGTCTGAGGGGGGAACCAAATCCTTGAGCCTAGTCCGAACTTGTCCGAACCATTCGAGACGCCAGACAAGACTGAGAACGAGTATCTTTGAGATCTTGACAATGAGCTTTGTTCCGAGCAGGAGTTTTGAGCTGCCAGGACCGAGAGGACGGTGTAGTTCTGATAGTTTGAGATGGCTGAAGTTGTTCGCTCTAAATCAATAGATCATGAATTAAAAGGCAGTCAAGGATGAATGGGCATACAGGCCTTCGTTTACACCAACAGGTTCCAAATGCCAGAGTCGTTTTTCGACCACCTGTCAATGTAACGAGCGAATAAGAAAAGATGAGAATCACGAGAGGAGCTCGGGCGGTACAAAACTTGAAGCAGTAAGGGATATGATGGGTATCCTAAGATATGAATTACCCCAGTCGAGTACTATAGTCTATAAGTTATGGGGATCAGTTATTTCAAACTCCGCAGATGATTCAGATGCAGACTCAAGCCAGATTTTGCATTTGCCAGCTGGACCTATTGATCTGTAGCGGATGCATGACCATCGTCATCTTGTCGTAATTCGATTCGCCAAAAAAAGTCTCAACAGTATATCGCCTTTTGCCTAAATTACAGAATTACCCTCGTAATTTATTTCTCTAAGACCGATCAAGACGTGTACTTGATATGACCCGATCGACCAGGACGAACGTACACCGTGACGCATTCAACCACTTGAGCTACGCCACTTTATCCATGCCGCGTCTGCATCAATCGGCTTTACGAAACTTTCCTTGCATCCAGATGCGATACATCTTCAACTGCCGTTTCCGATTGACCAAAAGCCGGCGGTCGATACCGAGTTGTTCGATTGTAAACAAAGGGTGTGGTGGACAGTGGGCTAGAGGACGAAGGAGGTTGTGGTGTACGTCAGATGATGGACCTGAAGAGGGCAAGCTGGGGGTATCGTCAGATCCTAGGTTGGGGGTGCCCACCGGCGTGTATGATGCGGGACTGGCAGTTTGTGATGGCGCAGGTAGTGACATTGGCTCGTTATCTTTATCTTCGTCTACAACTTCCGTAATTGTCGATGTTTTCTGAGCAGGCGAGGCGCGGGATCCGGTGAAGATCAGCGCAAGCTCGTCTAGATACAGCAACAGAATTCAGAAACTCGGTTGATTGAGTTTTATTCGCGACGTACCAAGCTCGAAGAAATAGACTCGTGTCTTATCACCCCGAATGTAAAAATTATCTTCGAGGAGACGACCGGATTTGAATCGCAGCTGCGTGAGATCATGTCTACCATAGTCGCGAAATAATACAAGCCCGCCAGGCTTGAGCATCTAATGGCAGGTGATGAAGTGACTATATCGATAAAGCTATTCAAATACCTTATGAATGTTAGCGATAGCTTTACCCCATTCATTCGGGTGGAGCGCACTGAGTACGAACACCAGGATGATAATGTCCACAGTCCCTGGTTCTACTCCTGGCGGTAGTATGCCTGGTGAGGATAGATCCCAGACAGCTGCCTCTATCTTGCCAACAGGTGGCGAGCTATAGAGGGCATTTGTCTACTCGTGGACTGAGCCAAGGACACGAAGACAGTTAACCCGTACATACCTGTACTAATTTGACTGCATGGGTTGAGTAATCGTAGGCACGGATGGTAAGATTTGGGTTTTGGTTCGCCGTTAAGAGCGGAAATGCAGCGTTGCCGGCGCCTAGACAGGGTTTAGGTATGTTTCATCAAAGATAATATTAAACCCACCGCATCCTATCTCGCAAATGGTTACATCCCCTGCCTGACTACATAAGAGAAATCATAGATGAGGTACAATCCCTTACATCTGGTTCTGCCGCTGTCAGCAGCTCTGGAAATTCGAGATGTAACCTTCAGCTAAAAAGGTGAGCATATTACTGAGGACAGAAGGAATTATGCCCACCACTTTCTATTTCGGAAGAAATTGTCGGCATTCGTCTTGTAAAAATTATCCCTATCAACCGAAAGCATCAGAACGAATGAAGCACTGACAAAACGAAACTTGCGAACCAGTATTTTGCGGGTTTCGCATTATAATTCTTCTTATCATCCTCGGGCACTGGGACAAGACGTTGCCTCGCCAATGACGCATTTATCGTTTCAGTTTGATCTTCAGGAGGTGGAACATGGTCCCAAGCGTTCTGAGTCCAGACATCAGAGTCTTGCGTAAGAAATCTACACGTTTGATGACTTGGATCAGGTATCTTTTTGTTGATCTTTCTGATGCTTACCTGGATCCAAATGGGGGTTTCTCAGCGTTGATGTCGTGCACCGATGAGCATAGCTTCGGTATGCGCGCAGGTTGAACTTCCGGTGGAGAAGTCATGCGGAGCACACAGCACAGGCCGAGATTCTGGCGGGTGTTTTGTCTCTACACAGCAGTACGCTCCACTGCAACCTATGCCTAGATGCGATCAGAGAAAAAAGATCAGTAAACGTGGACTGTTCACAGCTGCAGTGGATGAGCTTAGGTCCGGATGTAACCGAAATCCGATGATGATTATTGGCTTGGGTTCCCTGAGCGCTCACCAAGCGACATAGTCTCGTTTTCCTACTTGTCCGACACTGGGATCCAAGTTTTCTGATAACACAGAAAATCGTGTTCTACCGCTATTTCTGGCGTCGACCACCATCAAAGTCTGCATCTGGTCGGTCTCCAGGTCAGTAGTGTTGGTCTGCTGCGCAGCCGAAGGTTCTGGTCAACTTGACCAACCAGTTCCCAATTCGATAATTGACCGGAATCATGTCTACTCTCCAATCCAACGGTCGTCCTCCTCCACCCGGGGATGAGGATCTCCAGCATCTTTATGATGAAGTTTGGCGGATCTTTGGCGAAGAAACAGCTTCCCCAACCGAGCGCTCGCCAACAAGTGCGGTTTCTGCCCATGCACGCGAGCCCTACTCCAATGGTTCATTCCACGACGTCAACGCGACTATATCTCCTTCTTCAATGCGAAATGTCTTTCATCGTCCTGGTTCGTTTTATATTCACTCGCGTTGTGAGCGAGTAATCTGACTATGGCATATAGCGCCTGCGCCTCAGCGGCCACATTCTCCTGAAATACGCCCACAACCTGATACTGCGACCTCTCCTACACAAAGGAGGTTGAGACCACTTCCGTTGCCTCCAGGTGCTTCTTCTTTAGGTCCTCAGCCTCATGATCAACCACCTCCAGTTGCAAGTACTTCACGCCCTGGGACGGCTGGAGTTGATGGGTAGGTCGTCATTTATTTAATTCTATCCGGAGAGTTTTCATCACACGCACAGGCGTCGTCAGCTTCCTCAGGCACCTACGGTACAACCCAATGGCCATAATGGCAGTCGCCCATCCACAGGTTCTGCAACATCCCCAACCTCATCTACAAGTAAACCAGCCATTACTAGCTCTCATGCTGATGGGCTGCCAAATATACATAAAGCTGTCCCCGCTGTTCCATCGCACGCCAATGGAGCGTCTGTTAATGGTGTAGATGCGTATCGTTTGCAACAATCAGATAGCAGCCTCGATGTGCAAGGCTACGGTGTCACCGTCGCACCCAAATCGTCCCCTCGACCTCCCGGCGCTTCGCCCCCGAATATTCCTGGTCTCAGCAATATGTTTGATGAATTCTCGATCGACCATGGTCCAGACGATACGAAGAATCGCCCATCTCATCGCTCTCAACAATCTTCGGAACAATTTCGTCCTGCGGATGCCTACCCACAACCTCATGTACGATTACATCCAAACGATGGAATCAATGGCCCTGCACCATCTGCTCGGGTAAATGATTTGCGTCATCGCCCTTCGTCATCATCCGACTATATCCCTAATTGTAAGTCCACACAAAACGAAAAACTTCGATCCCTAACTGATACCATCTGCAGACCATCAAGATAGTGACCCGAAACTAGGCCGCGCAATTTCTATAGGTTCCACCATATCTTCGTTGGTAACAGACTCACTGGGCCGCAATGTCTCAGTGACGACAACAGCTACCAGCTACACTGATACAGACGGTTCAACTACTAAATCTGGGCCAACAATACTCAGCAGAGAAGGGTCCTACGGGTTCCCATCGGCGGGCCCTTCGGCACTTAAATACAGTCACGGTCACTCAGACTCTGGCAGTGTCGGTTTCCAAGGTGGAAGCGTGGACTCATTAGCGCGTGCTCGTCCGAGTGTGTACAGCAGCACACCTGGGCCTCCGCCGGGTGACCATGAAGAAGAAGAAGATGACGATTACTTTGACTCCGAGAGCGATGACCCAGATCCAGACAGATTTGTCAACTTTAGCTTGCTGTCGCACTTGGCCGTCCGCTTGCGCGACAAGGTGCCTCGGGGCACTCATGTGAAAAGTAGCATTCCTTACCCTCGTGCATTCACCGGCAAGGACATCGTCGTAAGTCCATTGCTAGAATTCTGTGACAAGACTTGACGCAATGCCGTGGTTTCAGTCTACCATTCAAAACCAAATCCAGCGTGAACTGCTGATCAATCATGGTGTTTCGACCACCGATCGCCGTGCTGCTCTCCAGGTCGCTCGGAGTCTACAGCAGCAATTATTTTTCTACGAAGTTGAGTGGGGTCAGAAGCTGCTGCAAGATGGTGTGGAGGACGTGTATATGTTTTTGGATGACCTAGAGGGCAATTCTGAGGCTCACCGAGAGAGGGAAGAGCTGCCAACAGCCGTCATCACTTCACTCACTCGGTGCTATGCGTCGAGTTGTAGTGAGGACGACCCGTGTTATTCGTTTGCTTGTCCACGTCGAGTAAGTTCCTGTGATCCCTTGGTCGCGAGTTTGATCTAATGTTTCTGTAGCAAGCTGGTCGAATCGTAGATTTAGGTCCCGTAGCCGAGCCAGAGGTGCACCACGTAAGTCACCTTTCGCATTTGATTGACTGGATTGAACATCAACTATCTCCACAACAGCAAACCGAAGATTGGTTGAGTACGGTTGATCCCGGCATCCTTCTCACACTTCCAGAAAGTGAAGTTCATCGTCAAACGTGAGCATCTTCGTGAACTTTGTTTGGCGCTGTACCAAAGATCACACTAGCATCATCTATAAAACTATCACTCAGGAAGAGCAATACGTCCAAGACCTGGACACCGTGGAGGCGGTCAGTGCCTTGTATTACTTGATAGTCTGACCCACCTAATCTCCTCGTTTTAGCTGTTCATTCGGCCACTGCTGAAAGCAAGTCCTCCTGTCATGCCGGCTCACAAGCTAGACGAGTTTGTTGAAGAGGTTTTCGGAAACATCCTGGATCTTCGGGAATGCAACAGGAGACTAGTGGAAGCTATGTATGTTCGGCAACGTGAGCAAGCACCAATCATCCAAAGGATCGGAGATGTGTTCTTGGATGCCGCGAGAGAGTTCCGCTTTGCATATCCGACATACGTCGGACATCTGCCCCTTGCTGAAAAGCGCTTCAAAGACGAGATTGAGTCCAACGCGGACCTTCGATTGTTTCTCGAGGTATGATAATTTATCTGCATATCAGGAGCCATCGCTGGACTGTTTTGTAGGAGTGCTCGCGACAATCCAAGCAACAGGAAGCTCGTCGACTGGATTTGAAACACTTTTTATCGCGACCTTCTGAACATCTGCAGAAGTACCCTATCGCGCTGGAGGCGATCATGAAGGAGACAACTGAAGGCAACCCAGACGCGTACTACCTTGCAGAGGCCATTGAAGCCATCAGGAATCTTCAAAATGTTGCACAGCTCCGGACGTTCCAGACTGCAATGGGCAAAGGTCCGACTGGGAAATGGGAATGGCACGACATCGTAGCCAAGGATGTTCGAGAGAGCCTCAGCAAGGCTGAGGCCAAGCGCCAGTCGTATGTTTGTCTTTTCTTTGAGTTGTCATGAAATACTCAACTGTGTCCAGCATTATATTCGAACTGATCAAAGGCGAGATGGCGTACGTCAGGGACCTAGAAAACATCGACTTGGTGTGTTGTCCTTTGCAAGTACTCGATCTTAATATCATAGCTCATTTTCGCCACCACAGATTTATATCCAGGCCCTGCGAGAAGGCGATCCTTCAGTCATTCCTCGTGAGAGATTGAACGGTTTTATCACCGATGTCTTCCACAACTTTGCTGAGCTCCATTCGCATCATCGGAAGCTTCTGGACCAACTACATGATATACAGCGCGATGAGCATCCAAGGATCAAGAGTATTACAGCACCTATGTTTGACGCTGCTTTGAACTTCAGGGATGCATACATGGAGTACATCCCCAATTACCCTATCGCTGCTTATCGCATCGATGACGAGATGGCTAACAACAATGATTTCAAGACGTTTGTTGATGTGAGGCTTGTTCTTTGCTTCGCTTTACATTCCTAACTATCATGTAGCAATGTATACGGCATCCGGATGCCCACCGCCTAGACATGAAGAATTTTATCAACCGTCCTATCCCTCGATTATTGCGATACGAACTGCTCTTGAAAGGCATAATGGATGAGACACCTGCTAATCACGAGGATCGTGAAGCGATCCCTCAGGTCTTGGAGATCATAAAGTCTCTGGGTAAGGAAACCGAGCCAGGTGTTCAGTCAGCGAAACAGAAAGTTCAGCTCTGGTGCTATAACTCGAATTTGCAGTTCAAGCCCAACGAGTCCGTTGTAAGTCTTTAAGAATCTTGTTTGTCGTCACGTACTGAACGATCCTCTTAGGACATGGATCTTTTGAATGAAAACCGCTCTCTTATTCATGCTGGCAAGTTGCTGCGACAACCCGATACCGGTTTTGAATGGAACGGGTGGACTGAGCTTTTCGTCTTGCTGTTCGATAATTATTGTAAGTGTTCCAATCCTTGTGTTGTATCAGGAAACTTCACACCCAAATCAGTGGTCATGACCAAGACAAAAGAAAAAGACGGCGTGACAAAATATAACGTTAACCGGAGAGTGAGTGATTCTAAATATGGCATTGTATAATAACTCACTCGTGGTTTAGCCCATACCGCTAGACCTCCTTACTCTGGCCAGCTTCACCGATCCCCCGACACAGCGCAGCACAAGTATTCTGCGTCTCGGTCTTGGTGGAGGGAACAGGCATGCAGAAGGCGGGCTCTCTCCAGGTAGTGGTGCTCCCGACACCGCTACCGATTCACGTCTTGTATATCCTTGTACCATTCACTATAACGGCAGGCTTGGTGGTTTGCATACCTTATATACGGAATCTCAGCAAGCGCGAGCGGAGTGGAAGCAAAAGCTGGACGAGGCCATCGGCTTGCGCAAGGTTGTTCAAGAGTCAAACAAAGTCTTCGAGCTGGAGCCGCTCAGTACAGACACCTTTCTTGTCCCGTCCATATCTTCAGCTGCTGTACCATCTTGGAACCACGAGAATTCCCTCACAGGCAAGGTTACTTGCTCTGTTCCTTTTAGTGAGATCAGGACATTCCTCTTTTCCATCTGTCTTACTGATACGCTTTTTCAAGCTACCGCTGATGGACGAGCACTGGTGGCGATTGGTTG